TAAAGCACGAAGGGTGATGCCGTGCATTGTTTTGGTAAGAGAGTGTAAAAGCACGAAGGGTGATGCCGTGCATTGTTTTGGTAAGAGAGTGTAAAAGCACGAAGGGTGATGTCGTGCATGATTTTGTGAGGAAGAGTGTAAAAGCACGAAGGGTGATGCCATGCCGCATGATGTACAATTCCGTGCCATTTATATTGATTTTATGGTAAGGACGTGAGTAAAATCACGAAGGGTGATGCCGTGCGCTTGTCCTTGATTTTCCTGATTCTTGCTGATAATTGAGTTATGATGTTCTTTACATTTATTTACTGATTTTCTGTCGTTACTTGATTTTACTGTGATGTTATTGATTCCCTTACCCAAATTATTTTGTGATTGTTGCTTGGGTGAGGAAGAGTGTAAAGCACGAAGGGTGATGTCGTGTATGATATTGGTGAGAGAGTGTTAAAGCATGAAGGGTGATGACGTGCATGTTATTTGTGAGAGAGTGTTAAAGCATGAAGGGTGATGTCGTGCACTTGTCTTTGATTTCCTGATTTTTATTGATAACTGAGTTATGGTTTCTTTACATGTAACTGTTGGTTTTCTGTTGATACTTGTTGTACCCCGCATCATGATTCCCCCTTCCTATCTTCAATTGAACTGTGGCGATTCTTATATTTACTTTTTGTTCTTCTGTTATTATTCGATGTCCCCGCAACATGTTTCCCCCTCCCATCCTTAACTATACATTTCTGCTTTTATTTTCTGTTGTATATGATTTAACTATACAGGTTTATTTGGTAGTCTGGTCCTAGCCTCGTCACTACTTCATCGAGGTTAGGCTAGGCACTTACCAGCACATGGGGTCGGTTGTGCGGATACTACACTCTGCATTGTGTGCAGATCCCGGTACAGCAGCTTTGAATCTTAGCTTTGTGTTGCTGTCTTTAGTCCATCGGAGATCTAAGGTAGTCCTGCAGGCGTCTGCAGGCCCTGGCGTCTCCCTCTATCCTTTCATCCTGTTTCATTTACGTATTTCAGAAACAATATTGTATTTATCTTTCAGACCTTGTTTGTAGTATTCCTAGACCATCTGTGAAGTTGTGACACCAGCTTTGGGTAGTCTTTGTTTAAGAAGTTGTATTGGAATTATTTAAATGGTTTTATTTATTTTCTTCCGCTTGTTTAAATTCCGCTGTTTATAAACTGTTTGTTCATAATTCTTAAAGGATTAAAACTTGGGAAAAGGGTAAATAATGCAAATGGTTAGCTTGTCTAGCTTTCATTAGTAGGCGCCATCATGACTCGCGACGGCGAAAAATCTGGGTCGTGACAGCCGGAATTTGTTAATTTTTAATTGGAATATTCTATCTCAAGCCTCCTCTTGTTTTCCCCTGTTCTCTCTTCTTTCTCCTTAACTCTAAACTTAGTTTGTCTTACTAAAATACCTCCTAACAGTACTACTCCTCCAAGAATAGATACATCTCAGGATGGAGAATCATGGATTCAAGAAAATCTTGAAAGAAACCCCATTCATGAGAAAGGAATATTTTTTTATCCTCAAGATGGGGAGGAGGATGAATATGTGTCTCAAGTGCTAGAATTCTATCAATGGGCTGAATTTTCTAAGCCACCAGGAAAAGTTTTGCTTGGACTTAGTGAGAGAATTTTTTAGAAACTTGAATGAAAATGCTCAATTTTCTACTGTTACATGATTGAGAGTTGATTGTTCTCCACAAGCTATCAATCGTTTGTATCATCTCACACAAGTGGATGACAGTCAAACCTTAGCATTTATTTACGATCCTAATATAGATGAGCTGGAGCATTTGTTATGTCCATTTGGAGCTACTTGGGTGTATGATACAAATGCAGCTAAGGTATGTTTAAAAGGGCAAAATATTATGTACAAAGCTAGACGTCTTCTTACCTTTTTAAGTAGCACAATGATTCCAAATACCCATGGAACTGATATATACTTGAACAGATTAGCTTTGCTATTTGTAATTTGTTCAAGAATGCCTCTGAATATGGGTAACATCATCAATATCCATATGAAGTTCTGTAGATTTGATCCCACTGTGGGGACTTTATTGTTTCCATCAACCATAACTAGATTGATCAAGGAAGTTGGTGTCATTGTAAGTCCAAAGACTTTGAGTCCTTCTAATATAAAGATCGACAAAAAAGTGTGGTCAAAACTTGCAAAAACTAATGGCCCATACAAAATAGAAGGAGAAGAAAAGCTTCTTTTGAGAAACAGGAGACAACCTCCTATTTTTTCAGGTGGAATGAGGGAAATTAGGGAATTATTGGCTGAACAGTTTGTTTCCATGGAGGAAAAATTTGCAAGAATGATGGAATAAGTGAATGCTAAAATTGATGGTGTAGTGGATAGGTTGATGAAGAAATTGGATAGGCTGGAGAATCTTATAATGGAGGAGATGATATATAGTACAACCATGTCTTGGGCTCTAGCAAATTTTACGCAAAGAATGGCTCGGTAATGGAATTCCAATGAGCCAACAACTTTTCCACCATTTGAACTCATAGATCCATCTACTTTCCCTATACCAAGATGCTACACACTTGCAGATTTGGAAGCTATGGCGGGCATAGAAAACTTGCAACTACCCTCTCTCCTGAATAGAGAAAATCCACCACACCTACTGCCCCTGTTGTATCCGATCATAGCAGTAAAACCTTCTCTAATTTGCCAGATCTATCTGCTGTTTTTTCTATATCCTCTCCCATATTTACACCAGCATTTGGAGGTCCAAGAATTAGGGAGCCTAATCCAGAAACAAGAGCAACAAAAAAGCCTAAACTTGTAGAAGAAAAAGGGAAGAAACCAATGGAGGAAGGAGATGATTCTTCAGATGACGATGATGGTTGGACATCAGTTCAAGTGGTCCAGTTAGGACAAACAAGTATGGAACCATCATATGTGATTGAGGTGGGAGAATCGAGCATGGCATAGCAACAAGAGGAGGATTATTTGGTTGAGAACAGTGAGGAGAGGGGAGCAACAACAACAACGACCCAGTAAAGTCCCACTAAGTGGGGTCTAGGGAGGGTAGTGTGTACGCAGACCTTATCCCTATCCCGATAGGGCAGAAAGGTTGTTTCCGATAGACCCTCGGCTCAGGAAGATGAAAATAAAACAAGAAAACAAAAAAAGACAATTAATCAGTAACGTCAAATAACCATAGAAATAATGACAGCATTCTAAAAACCATAAAACAGATGACATGCAATAAACATAACCCACAACTAAGGTCTAGAGCTATGGAAAACAGTAAGGTTAGTGTGAACTCTACATTAACCACAAGCCTGTCTAGGACCAACCTACTCAAACTCGCTTCACCCCCGGAATGGAGGAGGAAAAGCTCGACTACCACCCTATCCTACAACCCTAATGCTCGACCTTCAAACCTTCCTATCAAGGGCCATGTCCTCGAAAATCTGCAATCGTGCTAGATCTTGCCTGATCACCTCTCCCCAATACTTCTTAGGTCGTCCTCTACCTTTTCTCGAACCCACTAAAGCCAGCAGCTCACACCTCTTCACCGGAGCATCCAAGCTTCTCCTCCACACGTGCCCAAACCATCTGAGCCTCGCTTCCCGCATCTTGTCTTCCACAGAGTCCACACCCACCTTCTCCCGAATATCGTCATTCCTAATCTTATCTATCCTAGTGTGCCCGCACATCCACCTCAACATCCTTATCTCAGCTACCTTCATCTTCTGGATATGAGAGTTCTTAATTGGCCAGCACTCTACCCCATACAACATGGCCGGTCTAACCACCGCCCTATAAAACTTACCTTTGAGTATCGGTGGCACTTTCTTGTCATATAAGACTCCAAATGCTAGCCTCCATTTTGTCCACCCCACTCCTATGCGGTGAGTGCTGTCCTCGTGAATCTCTCCATCCTCTTAAATAACCGACCCAAGGTACTTGAAACTACCTCTCTTGGGGATGAACTGTGATCCAAGCCTCACATCCATGCCTACTTCCCTCAACTCGGCGTTGAAACCCTTCGACTTGAGAGCCTGTCTCTAAACCTCCAACCTCTCATTAACACCGTCCCGCATTTCATCAATCAGTACTATGTCATCAGCGAATAACGTACACCATGGCACTTCCCCTTGAATATGGTGTGTTAGTGCATCCATTAATAAGGCAAATAAGAATGGGCTAAGCGCTGATCCTTGGTGTAACCCCATAACAACCGGGTAATACTCCGAGTCGCCTCCCACAATCCTTACCCTAGTCTTAGCTCCATCATACATGTCCTTGATCACTCTAACATAAGCTATCGGCACACCTTTTACCTCCAGACACCTCCATAGCACCTCCCTAGGGACCTTGTCATACGCTTTCTCTAAGTCAATAAACACCATGTGCAGATCTTTCTTCCTATACTTGTACTGTTCCACCAACCTCCTAATAAGATGGATAGCTTTCGTGGTCGAGCGTCCCAGCATGAACCCAAACTGGTTGTCAGATATAGACACTATTTTCCTCACCCTCGCCTCCACCACCCTCTCCCAAACTTTCATGGTATGACTTAGTAACTTGATACCCCTATAGTTGTTACAACACTGAATATCACCTTTGTTCTTGTACAATGGAACCACTGTACTCCACCTCCACTCATCTGGAATCCTCTTAGTCATGAAAATAACATTAAATAGCCCAGTCAACCACTCCAAGCCTGCTTTACCCACATACTTCCAGAACTCAACCGAAATTTCATCTGGCCTGGTCGCTCTGCCCCGACTCATCTTACGCACAACCCCCACGACCTCCTCCAACTTAATACGCCTACAATACCCAAAGTCTCAGAGACTCTCTGAATGCCCTAGATCCCCTAGCACTATATTACGGTCCCCTTCCTCATTTAAAAGACCCTGAAAGTACATATGCCATCTCTGTTTAATCTGGGACTCCCCCATCAAGACTCTACCGTCCTCGTCTTTGATGCACCTCACTTGATCCAGATCCCGAGCCTTCATCTCCCTCGCTTTAGCAAATCAAAACAACTTTTTATCCCCGCCATTTTCCCCAATTCCTCATACAGTCGGCCAAATGCTGCATTCTTAGCCTCTGTGACCGCTAGCTTAGCCTCCTTTCTTGCTACCTTGTACCCCTCTCTATTCGCTCTCCTCTCCTCCTCGCATGTGCTCCCTACCAACTTCAAATACGCTTCCTTCTTCGCCTCCACTTTGCCTTGGACTATGTCATTCCACCACCAGTCGCCTTGGTGCCTCCCAGAGTGACCCTTCGAAATCCCTAGCACCTCTCTTGCCGCCTCCTTAACGCAGTTCGCCGTCGTAGCCCACATAGCGCTGGCGTCCTCACTACTCTTCCATGCTCCCATAGCCGATAACCTCCCCTCAAACACTTGGGCTTTATCCTTAGTTAAGGCTCCCCACCTAATCCTCGGTTGACCACGAGCATACCTCTTCTTCCTCCTTATCGTAATACCTCCGTCCATTACCAAGAGCCTATGCTGGGTCGCGAGGGTCTCACCCGGGATAACCTTGCAATCCCTATACAACCCTCTATCACACCTTCTGAAGAGGAGGTAATCAATTTGAGTTTTCACAATCGAACTTCGGTTCGGAAAACTCGAGTTCACAATCACCAGCTCGAAAGCCTTAGCAAAATCCAACAGCGAGGAACCTCCTCCGTTCTTATCCCCAAAGCTGAAGCCACCATGCACCTCGCTATAGTCACCAACAACCGGCCGAATGTGGCCATTGAAATCCCCTCCTATAAATAACCTCTCAGTGGGTGGAATACTATGCACAACCTCGTCCAAACTCTCCCAGAAGCGCCTTTTAACCTCCTCATCCAAGCCCGCTTGCGGCGCTTAGGCACTAACGACATTGAGGGTGCACTAACCAATCACCAACTTAATAAAAATTAGTCTGTCATGCACCCGCCTAACCTCAACCACCGACTCTCTAAGGTCCCTATCCACCAAGATTCTCACTCCATTCTTACCCCTCACGACTCTAGAGTACCACAGCTTATACACGTCCACATTCCTCGCCTTCGACCCTACCCACCTTGTTTCCTGGACACAAGCTATATTTACTCTTCTTTTCTATAGAATCTTCGCCAGCTCAATAGACTTACCCGTCAGCGTGCCTATATTCCATGACCCGATCCTCAACCTACAAGATCCCTTTCTCCCCTTACCCTCATTGCCTCCCGTACTATCCTCTAACCCCCTCCTCACCCCCTGAGGACATGACCTTACTCTACCATCCCAAACCACAGCCACGATAGACTACGAACAAGCACTAGCATAGAATAACGGCCAACTAGAAGGTAACAAGTAGCAACTACAAATGCGCTAATAATATGCTTAAAGTAATGCTAACAAGATAGGCAGAATTTAACTATCATAAAGAGATAAACAGGAAAGAGGGAGGTACCAACTCCCGATTGGAACAACCTGAAGATATGACCTAGTGCACACCCGAGGTCACGGAATCCGCGTGCGTCCTTCCAAATCTCACCAGCCTTTGCACCTACTAACCAAGAATGCTCCGCTTGCTTGTTTGTACGGCTCGTGCTCGTCTCGATGCAACTAGTTCCCTAAAAATCGCACACAACCACCACAAAAACAATAGGGGAGGGGGGTGGGTTGTCAACCTGTCGCCGCTGCACCAACTTAGTTCCACGACAGCTCGGGTTGTCCAACTAAACTATGTAGAAAACCGCCGCCGAAAGCAACGGAGATGGTTGACGAGTCTAGGTATCCAACACAAAGGAGAGTAAGGGGGTGGGGGTACAGGCGACCTGGACAGACTCAAAAGGAGAGGGTGTTCGCCGGCAAGAGGTCGCCGACGGGTTGCTAGGGTTTGTGCTTTGGGAACTAAAGTTTGAACACAAGAAGGGGTGGGGACTCGAACTGCAGGGAAAGAGAGGAGGGCTTAGGGGAATAAAAGAAAAGAAAGGGGAGAGGAGGAGAAAGACCAGTCGCCAGCCGGATAACTCCGGTGATGACTGACGCAGGGAAGATGCAAAAATAGAAAACGGGGGAAGGAGAGAGAAGGGATGGGGAAGAGGGAAGGGAGGGGGGAATGGAGAGAGAGAGGGTAGCTTTCTTGTGATTTCCGGTGCCAGCGGTCACGCCGGAGGATTTACAGTAGACGAAAAAGGCGAAAAAGAGGGGGACTAGCGGGGAGAGAGAAAGGGGGTTAGAGAGAGTCTTCTTAAGGGAGTCTTGTGAGAGTCCTACACAAACTTTACTAATGTCCCAGTGAGGAGAGGGGAGCGACAAGGGAAAATAGCTTCATCTAAAGTGGCGACTTCATCCGGGAGGATGAAGCGCTTAAGTATGGGGGAGGAAAGTATGAAAAAGGAGTCCTAAGAAAAGAATTCATGATTTCACTGCTTAATATATATAATACTATAGTTGGTAAGCTATTTTTAATGTTTTGCTTTGTTAATATTGTAAATATATTGATAACTATCTTTAATATTGTGCTTTTGGTTAGTACTTGGTTGGAAGTATTTTGGGGATAGTAAATGTTGTCTGTATGTCTTAAAGCAACTACTGGGAAGCTTTGTGGGTAGAATGTGTTTTTGTCTATTGAAGAAGCAATCCCCAAGTGTAAATATTTCACTTGTTAAAGTACTGTACTTTGTCTTTACTTTAATTGTTGTAATTTATTTTTATTTACTGTACTTTTTTTGTCTTTTAGTTGTTTTACTTGATCTTTAGTACTCTAACATATTAACATTGTCTTTTGTATTAAAGATTCAGGTCATTTGGCTGGGAAGATACAGCATCCTTAAGCAGTAAAGTATTCTTTGATGCTTTGGTAGTACCAAATGCAAAAGTCCAATGACTATTTTAAAAAAATTAGATGCTTAAAAGAAAAAAAAAGTTCTTATTTCGGTAAATATAGTACTAAGTATTATATCTAACGTTACCTGGAAGTTATGTGATTAAAGGGGAAAACAGTTAATACTTGAAAGAATGAAGAGATCTTATGTTGTGAATTTAAAAACTACAATGAAACAATAATCTATTAAAGATATATATATATATATATATATATATATATATATATAAATCAATCAAACTCAAAAAGAATTATCCCTAATACCTACCTTTGAAGCCTCTAAACCTTTCTTTCTTATCACACCACAATTTTAACCAGTAAATTATAGATATACATATGTCTATAATTACTTCTCCATAATTGTTCTTTTTTAGCTAGAAACTCAAAAATAGAGCTCTAAAAAAATTATATTGACAATAGATAAGGAAAGATGTGAAGTGGTGTATATGTGAATATTTGTTATCATATATGAAGAAAACATCCAGCGTATATAGCAGTTATAAAAAATAAAGAGGGGGGGGGGATGAAAATTGCCCCTAAACTTCAGGAAATATGTTGCTCCAATAGCTGGAAAAAAAAGTCACTATAAGTATGTCTTTATCCTACCAGCCTGAAACCTAACATTACAAGACAAAAAGTCCTAAAAGATTTCAGAAAACAGTGTTTAAACTACTGTGACGACCTAAAAGGTCATCACTTATTTTACAAATCGATTATATATTCTGAGGCCTTAAAACCTCCTTTTTCTCTTACCTCAATTTGTGTGTGCAGTCCGGGCGTGTATCCGAAAAGTTATTATGTGAAAATCTGGGAAAAATAATAAATTTTACATTTAAAATAAATTTAAGTTGACTTCGGTCAATATTTTAGGTAAGTGGACCCGGACCCGTAATTTGACAATCCCGGAGGGTTCGTAGGAAAATATGGGACTTGGGCGTATGCCCGGAATCGAATTCCGAGGTCCCAAGTCCGAGAAATGAATTTTTGAAGAAAATTATTTAACTGAAATTATAAGAGTTTTTAGAAATTTGAATTTGTTGTAATTTGATGGTATTGGGCCCGTATTTTGGTTCCGGAGCCCAGTACTTGTCTTATATGCGATTTAAGTTGAGCTTGTAAAATTTGGAATGAAACGAAGGTCATATGACGTGATTCGGAACCTTAGTTGTAAAATTTGAAACTTTGAAAGTTCTTGAGATTTTCTTTGATTTTGATGCTAAATTTATAGTTATTGATATTACGACCCTAAACCCGGACCTGGTCGTAATAGCGCATATCGTGAAGACAAGGCCAACCGACACAACACCCAATTCATTTTAACAATTAAAATACACAATTTAAGTCTTTAACACAATAAGAATCCCAAAATAAGCAGTGAAACAGTTCAATTTGCGGAAATAAAACCAACACAGCCCGACATCGAGGTGTCACCAGTCATGAGCATCTACCATAAAACTACAAGTCTGAAAGAGTCTACAAAACATATTACATGACTAGGACAAGGGAAAGAAATAATGATAAGAGGGAGAGACACTGGGCTACGAACGCCGAGCAGCTACCTAGTGGACTCCAAGAATCTGCTGGAAGCTATCAACCTTCGCTAGCAGGACCTGAAGCGCCTGAATCTGTACACAGGGTACAGGGAGTAAAGTGAGTACTCCAACTCAGTGAGTAATAACAATAAATGAAGATTGGGTGATAAGAAATCACGTAAAAATACAACAACATGCTATATATAGGTAGAGTAAAACCAGTAAAATGCAAAAAAATAGTGAAAACATATAAAGTCGCCTTAGTTCAAAATAAGCTTCTTTAAAATACCTTTTTAACAGTTAAACAACTAAATGACTGGCGGCTAGAAGAGATAAACACATAAGAACCGCCCCTCGGGCACAATACCAACAGAATCAGCCCCTCGGGTAACAACATGGAACAACACCAGCCCCTCGGGCTATATCTCATATCACAATGGGTACCCGCGCTCACTAGGGTATACAGACTCTGGGAGGGGCCCCTTAGGGCCCAAGCGCAATATCAAGTCATCTCGTGGCATAGTCCATAGGCTCTCGGCCTCATATCAAGCCACCTTGTGGCGTACAATCTCAGTCCCTCGGCCTCATAATCATAAATCAGTGTATCATTGCTGCGGCGTGCAACCCGACCCAAAAGTGTCCTCACAACACAGTCCCTCGGCCTTACTCAGTCAGAATCTCATAAGCCACTCGGGCAACAGTAAAACATGATGCTCAGCCCAAAATATCATTTAAAATATCATCTAATGTGTTAAAACATAGTAACATGGTTGAGTTTTGAAAACGGTATAATATAGCATGACTGAGTACAGATATTAAAAATCAAAATAGTGATGAAATAGTAGTAAAAATCCCCTAAGGGTCTAAATAGTTGGCACAAGGCCCAAATATGGCATTCAGCCCAAAACATGATGATATCAAACAAGTTTCAATCAAATATGCGGTAAAACAGTCATTCGGGATGGACTGGGTCACAATCCCCAACGGTGCACGACCCCACGCTCATCATCTAGCGCGTGCGTCATCTCAATATAGCATAACGATGTGAAATCCGGGGTTTCATACCCTCAGGACAACATTTACAATCATTACTCACCTCTATTCGGTCCAAATCTCTAGCCCGCGATGTCTTTACCTCTCAAATCGGCCTCCGGCTGCTCCAAATCTAACCAAAATCAATTCAAAACCATCAAAATATGCTAAGGAAACAAAGCCCACTCAAAAAAATCAAACTACAACACAAATCCGGAAATTGGCAAAACCCGACCCCCAGGCCCACGTTTCGGATTCCGTTAAAAATTACATCAATAGACTCCTTATCACTTCTCGAGTTCATTCATATCAAAATAACCAAAATTCAACCTCAAATGATCCCTCAAATCCCTAATTTTAGATCTCCAATTACAAGCCCTAGTTCTTCAATATTAGGCTTAAATTTCATGATTAATTAGGTAGAATTCACAAGCCCTAGTTCTTCAATATTAGGCTTAAATTT